AGTCAGTTAGTCAGTCAGTCAGTCAGTCAGTCAGTTTGTTGTTAGGTAGTCAGTCAGTCAGTCAGTCAGTAAGTTAGTCAGTCAGTCAGTCAGTCAGTCAGTCAGTCAGTCAGTTAGTCAGTCAGTCAGTCAGTCAGTCAGTCAGTCAGTCAGTCAGTCAGTCAGTTAGTCAGTCAGTCAGTCAGTCAGTCAGTCAGTCAGTCAGTCAGTTAGTCAGTCAGTCAGTCAGTCAGTAAGTTAGTTAGTTGTTAGGTAGTCAGTCAGTCAGTCAGTCAGTCAGTCAGTAAGTTAGTCAGTCAGTCAGTCAGTCAGTTAGTCAGTCAGTCAGTCAGTCAGTCAGTTTGTTGTTAGGTAGTCAGTCAGTCAGTCAGTCAGTAAGTTAGTCAGTCAGTCAGTCAGTTAGTCAGTCAGTCAGTTAGTCAGTCAGTCAGTCAGTCAGTTAGTCAGTCAGTCAGTCAGTCAGTTAGTCAGTCAGTCAGTCAGTCAGTTAGTCAGTTAGTCAGTCAGTCAGTCAGTCAGTCAGTCAGTCAGTCAGTCAGTCAGTCAGTCAGTCAGTTAGTCAGTCAGTCAGTCAGTCAGTCAGTCAGTCAGTCAGTTAGTTGTTAGGTAGTCAGTCAGTCAGTCAGTCAGTCAGTCAGTTTGTTGTTAGGTAGTCAGTCAGTCAGTCAGTCAGTCAGTCAGTCAGTCAGTCAGTTAGTCAGTCAGTCAGTCAGTCAGTCAGTCAGTCAGTCAGTCAGTTAGTCAGTCAGTCAGTCAGTCAGTCAGTCAGTCAGTCAGTCAGTCAGTCAGTCAGTTAGTCAGTCAGTCAGTCAGTCAGTCAGTCAGTTAGTCAGTCAGTCAGTCAGTCAGTCAGTCAGTCAGTCAGTCAGTCAGTCAGTCAGTTAGTCAGTCAGTCAGTCAGTCAGTCAGTCAGTTAGTTAGTTGTTAGGTAGTCAGTCAGTAAGTCAGTAAGTTAGTTGTTAGGTAGTCAGTCAGTCAGTCAGTCAGTCAGTCAGTCAGTCAGTCAGTTAGTCAGTCAGTCAGTCAGTCAGTCAGTCAGTCAGTTAGTCAGTCAGTCAGTCAGTCAGTCAGTCAGTTAGTTAGTTAGTTGTTAGGTAGTCAGTCAGTCAGTCAGTCAGTCAGTCAGTTAGTCAGTTTGTTGTTAGGTAGTCAGTCAGTCAGTCAGTCAGTCAGTCAGTCAGTCAGTCAGTTAGTCAGTCAGTCAGTCAGTCAGTCAGTCAGTCAGTCAGTTAGTCAGTCAGTCAGTCAGTCAGTCAGTTAGTTAGTTAGTTGTTAGGTAGTCAGTCAGTCAGTTAGTTAGTTAGTTGTTAGGTAGTCAGTCAGTCAGTCAGTCAGTCAGTCAGTCAGTCAGTTAGTTAGTTAGTTAGTTGTTAGGTAGTCAGTCAGTCAGTCAGTCAGTCAGTCAGTCAGTCAGTTAGTCAGTCAGTCAGTCAGTCAGTCAGTCAGTCAGTCAGTCAGTTAGTTAGTTAGTTGTTAGGTAGTCAGTCAGTCAGTCAGTCAGTCAGTCAGTCAGTCAGTTAGTCAGTCAGTCAGTTAGTCAGTCAGTCAGTCAGTCAGTCAGTCAGTCAGTCAGTCAGTCAGTCAGTTAGTTGTTAGGTAGTCAGTCAGTCAGTCAGTCAGTCAGTCAGTCAGTTAGTCAGTCAGTCAGTCAGTCAGTCAGTCAGTCAGTCAGTCAGTCAGTCAGTCAGTTAGTCAGTCAGTCAGTCAGTCAGTCAGTCAGTCAGTCAGTTGTTAGGTAGTCAGTCAGTCAGTCAGTCAGTCAGTCAGTCAGTCAGTCAGTCAGTCAGTCAGTAGGTCAGTCAGTCAGTCAGTCAGTCAGTCAGTCAGTCAGTCAGTCAGTCAGTCAGTCAGTCAGTCAGTCAGTCAGTCAGTCAGTCAGTCAGTCAGTCAGTCAGTCAGTCAGTCAGTCAGTCAGTCAGTCAGTCAGTCAGTCAGTCAGTCAGTCAGTAGTCAGTAGTCAGTCAGTCAGTCAGTCAGTCAGTCAGTTGTTAGGTAGTCAGTCAGTCAGTCAGTCAGTCAGTCAGTCAGTCAGTCAGTCAGTCAGTCAGTCAGTCAGTCAGTCAGTCAGTCAGTCAGTCAGTCAGTCAGTCAGTCAGTCAGTCAGTCAGTCAGTCAGGTCCGATGTGTTTTAAATATGAGAATGATCCTAATTTCTGCTCCTCTTTGGCGAAAGCCCTTTTTCTTTTTACTAAGAAACTCTATTAGTCTATTTGATCTGTTTTATTCAACTGGCAACTTATTTAAATACAAATAAAGGTAATATACTTTCAGTTTTACAATAGTTAGTAAACTATATGAATTCTGCATGTTGTTGAGAGGTGTTTGAAATGTTTCATGAGCAGGATTCTTGTATTGTTGTTGTTGTTGTTGTTGTTGTTGTTGTTGTCAAACTCTGTATTTACTCACAGATTGTGAAACATTGAAAGCATCAAAGAGTCAAAAGATCCATTACACTGAAAGAGAACATTGAAACACAGTTACCTCCGTTTGTCTTTAACATGATGAGTTATGGACTGCAAGGTTATATGAAGGTCATGTGTGTTTATTGCATCTGTCTGGCACCTCGCTCTGCTGTGTGTAACTCAGGCCTGCAGGAAAACAGTGAGATGATCTAAGAAGCACGTAGGAATAATATATCTTATCAGAGGCACATTAAAGCTGTGTCTGTGGAGGAGGGTCTTCCATCACGTCCTCCCTAGGAGTCCTGTTTATCTCCTGCCTCATAAACGCTGCAGACAGACGCCTCTGTTCCTCCGCCAGAACTCTGGAGAATAACATTTCAAAAGCTTCTTTATTTCTCCTCTCTGTCCCTGTGTTGTTGAAGAACTCTCACACAGACGCTCACAGCTTCAATCTGAGGGAGGGGCTCTTCTGTGAACACACACCAGCATGTTATCAGAGGAATTACACCTAAAACAACCCCTATGTCTATGCATGGTCTTGTTCAATTAGGACGTATTCATGTACACGTTGAACCCCTTCTTCTCTTGTAGAACGAGCTGTGGGCGTGCATCAACTCCACTCTCCCAGGTAACTAATGTGTATGAGTGTGTGTACGGTGTACACTATGTGTGTACGGTGTGTGTACGGTGTATACTGTGTGTGTACGGTGTGTATACTGTGTGTGTACGGTGTGTGTACGGTGTACACTATGTGTGTACGGTGTGTATACTGTGTGTGTACGGTGTGTACACTGTGTGTACGGTGTGTATACGGTGTGTGTACGGTGTGTGTACGGTGTACACTGTGTGTACGGTGTGTATACTGTGTGTGTACGGTGTGTGTATGGTGTACACTGTGTGTACGGTGTGTGTACGGTGTACACTGTGTGTACGGTGTGTATACTGTGTGTGTATGGTGTGTGTACAGTGTACACTGTGTGTACGGTGTGTGTACGGTTTGTATACTGTGTGTGTACGGTGTACACTGTGTGTGTACTGTGTGTGTACGGTGTGTGTATGGTGTGTGTACGGTGTGTGTACTGTGTGTGTACTGTGTGTGTACGGTGTGTGTACGGTGTGTATACTGTGTGTATACTGTGTGTGTGTGTGTATACTGTGTGTGTACTGTGTGTGTGTGTGTGTGTGAGTGTTGCTAAGTCAGAGTGTGTTTGGTCTGCAGGAGTGTCCAGGAAGACGGAGGGCTGGGTGGGGCTGGGCTGCTGTGAGCTGGCCATCTCTTCAGAGTGTCGCAGAGAGTGCAAACAGGTCACTACATCCTCCAGGAGCATCAGCTCTGCTCACTCCTTCTCTCTGTGTGTTTAATGATGTTTCTCCTCCAGGAGCATCAGCTCTGCTCACTCCTCCTCTCTGTGTGTTTAATGATGTTTCTCCTCCAGGAGCATCAGCTCTGCTCACTCCTTCTCTCTGTGTGTTTAATGATGTTTCTCCTCCAGGAGCATCAGCTCTGCTCACTCCTCCTCTCTGTGTGTTTAATGATGTTTCTCCTCCAGGAGCATCAGCTCTGCTCACTCCTCCTCTCTGTGTGTTTAATGATGTTTCTCCTCCAGGAGCATCAGCTCTGCTCACTCCTTCTCTCTGTGTGTTTAATGATGTTTCTCCTGCAGGAGCATCAGCTCTGCTCACTCCTTCTCTCTGTGTGTTTAATGATGTTTCTCCTGCAGGAGCATCAGCTCTGCTCACTCCTTCTCTCTGTGTGTTTAATGATGTTTCTCCTCCAGGAGCATCAGCTCTGCTCACTCCTTCTCTCTGTGTGTTTAATGATGTTTCTCTTCCAGGAGCATCAGCTCTGCTCACTCCTCCTCTCTGTGTGTTTAATGATGTTTCTCCTGCAGGAGCATCAGCTCTGCTCACTCCTCCTCTCTGTGTGTTTAATGATGTTTCTCCTCCAGGAGCATCAGCTCTGCTCACTCCTTCTCTCTGTGTGTTTAATGATGTTTCTCCTGCAGGAGCATCAGCTCTGCTCACTCCTTCTCTCTGTGTGTTTAATGATGTTTCTCCTGCAGGAGCATCAGCTCTGCTCACTCCTTCTCTCTGTGTGTTTAATGATGTTTCTCCTCCAGGAGCATCAGCTCTGCTCACTCCTTCTCTCTGTGTGTTTAATGATGTTTCTCCTCCAGGAGCATCAGCTCTGCTCACTCCTCCTCTCTGTGTGTTTCATGATGTTTCTCCTCCAGGAGCATCAGCTCTGCTCACTCCTTCTCTCTGTGTGTTTCATGATGTTTCTCCTCCAGGAGCATCAGCTCTGCTCACTCCTCCTCTCTGTGTGTTTCATGATGTTTCTCCTCCAGGAGCATCAGCTCTGCTCACTCCTCCTCTCTGTGTGTTTCATGATGTTTCTCCTGCAGGAGCATCAGCTCTGCTCACTCCTTCTCTCCGTGTGTTTCATGATGTTTCTCCTCCAGGAGCATCAGCTCTGCTCACTCCTTCTCTCTGTGTGTTTAATGATGTTTCTCCTCCAGGAGCATCAGCTCTGCTCACTCCTTCTCTCTGTGTGTTTAATGATGTTTCTCCTCCAGGAGCATCAGCTCTGCTCACTCCTCCTCTCTGTGTGTTTAATGATGTTTCTCCTCCAGGAGCATCAGCTCTGCTCACTCCTTCTCTCTGTGTGTTTAATGATGTTTCTCCTGCAGGAGCATCAGCTCTGCTCACTCCTCCTCTCTGTGTGTTTAATGATGTTTCTCCTCCAGGAGCATCAGCTCTGCTCACTCCTTCTCTCTGTGTGTTTCATGATGTTTCTCCTCCAGGAGCATCAGCTCTGCTCACTCCTCCTCTCTGTGTGTTTAATGATGTTTCTCCTGCAGGAGCATCAGCTCTGCTCACTCCTCCTCTCTGTGTGTTTAATGATGTTTCTCCTCCAGGAGCATCAGCTCTGCTCACTCCTCCTCTCTGTGTGTTTCATGATGTTTCTCCTCCAGGAGCATCAGCTCTGCTCACTCCTCCTCTCTGTGTGTTTCATGATGTTTCTCCTGCAGGAGCATCAGCTCTGCTCACTCCTTCTCTCTGTGTGTTTCATGATGTTTCTCCTCCAGGAGCATCAGCTCTGCTCACTCCTTCTCTCTGTGTGTTTAATGATGTTTCTCCTGCAGGAGCATCAGCTCTGCTCACTCCTTCTCTCTGTGTGTTTAATGATGTTTCTCCTCCAGGAGCATCAGCTCTGCTCACTCCTTCTCTCTGTGTGTTTAATGATGTTTCTCCTGCAGGAGCATCAGCTCTGCTCACTCCTTCTCTCTGTGTGTTTAATGATGTTTCTCCTGCAGGAGCATCAGCTCTGCTCACTCCTCCTCTCTGTGTGTTTAATGATGTTTCTCCTCCAGGAGCATCAGCTCTGCTCACTCCTTCTCTCTGTGTGTTTCATGATGTTTCTCCTGCAGGAGCATCAGCTCTGCTCACTCCTTCTCTCTGTGTGTTTAATGATGTTTCTCCTCCAGGAGCATCAGCTCTGCTCACTCCTTCTCTCTGTGTGTTTCATGATGTTTCTCCTCCAGGAGCATCAGCTCTGCTCACTCCTCCTCTCTGTGTGTTTCATGATGTTTCTCCTCCAGGAGCATCAGCTCTGCTCACTCCTTCTCTCTGTGTGTTTCATGATGTTTCTCCTCCAGGAGCATCAGCTCTGCTCACTCCTCCTCTCTGTGTGTTTCATGATGTTTCTCCTCCAGGAGCATCAGCTCTGCTCACTCCTTCTCTCTGTGTGTTTCATGATGTTTCTCCTGCAGGAGCATCAGCTCTGCTCACTCCTCCTCTCTGTGTGTTTCATGATGTTTCTCCTCCAGGAGCATCAGCTCTGCTCACTCCTCCTCTCTGTGTGTTTCATGATGTTTCTCCTGCAGGAGCATCAGCTCTGCTCACTCCTCCTCTCTGTGTGTTTCATGATGTTTCTCCTGCAGGAGCATCAGCTCTGCTCACTCCTCCTCTCTGTGTGTTTAATGATGTTTCTCCTGCAGGAGCATCAGCTCTGCTCACTCCTCCTCTCTGTGTGTTTCATGATGTTTCTCCTCCAGGAGCATCAGCTCTGCTCACTCCTCCTCTCTGTGTGTTTAATGATGTTTCTCCTGCAGGAGCATCAGCTCTGCTCACTCCTTCTCTCTGTGTGTTTCATGATGTTTCTCCTCCAGGAGCATCAGCTCTGCTCACTCCTTCTCTCTGTGTGTTTAATGATGTTTCTCCTGCAGGAGCATCAGCTCTGCTCACTCCTCCTCTCTGTGTGTTTCATGATGTTTCTCCTCCAGGAGCATCAGCTCTGCTCACTCCTCCTCTCTGTGTGTTTAATGATGTTTCTCCTGCAGGAGCATCAGCTCTGCTCACTCCTTCTCTCTGTGTGTTTAATGATGTTTCTCCTCCAGGAGCATCAGCTCTGCTCACTCCTTCTCTCTGTGTGTTTAATGATGTTTCTCCTGCAGGAGCATCAGCTCTGCTCACTCCTTCTCTCTGTGTGTTTAATGATGTTTCTCCTCGAGGAGCATCAGCTCTGCTCACTCCTTCTCTCTGTGTGTTTAATGATGTTTCTCCTGCAGGAGCATCAGCTCTGCTCACTCCTCCTCTCTGTGTGTTTCATGATGTTTCTCCTGCAGGAGCATCAGCTCTGCTCACTCCTTCTCTCTGTGTGTTTCATGATGTTTCTCCTGCAGGAGCATCAGCTCTGCTCACTCCTTCTCTCTGTGTGTTTAATGATGTTTCTCCTGCAGGAGCATCAGCTCTGCTCACTCCTCCTCTCTGTGTGTTTCATGATGTTTCTCCTCCAGGAGCATCAGCTCTGCTCACTCCTTCTCTCTGTGTGTTTCATGATGTTTCTCCTGCAGGAGCATCAGCTCTGCTCACTCCTTCTCTCTGTGTGTTTAATGATGTTTCTCCTCCAGGAGCATCAGCTCTGCTCACTCCTTCTCTCTGTGTGTTTAATGATGTTTCTCCTCCAGGAGCATCAGCTCTGCTCACTCCTTCTCTCTGTGTGTTTAATGATGTTTCTCCTGCAGGCGTCTTCTAAAAACGACATCACTAAAGTGTGCAGGAAGGACACAGAGGTACGTCCAGCAGCATGTTATAC